TCTGATCCAGAATGAACACGTTCACTGTCACGTTGCTGCTCAGAGACAGAGCTCCAGAATCTGTGGCCACAACTTGGAACTGGAAAGTTTTCAATGTTTCAAAGTCAAAACTCTTCATTGCAACGATTTCTCCAGTTTCAGAGTTTATGTTTAGGAATGACATCACTTTATGTTCACTGCCTGCTTCCCTGTGAATATGATATGAAATTGCTGCATTATCTCCTTCATCCTGGTCAGATGCTCGCACTGAAAACACAGACGCTCCTGGTTGGTTGTTTTCTGTCACATAGAACGTGTAGGGGTTCTCTGAAAACTTGGGACTGTTATCATTGGTATCTGACACATGAATGATAATATTCTTTTCAGATGTTAATGCTGGTTCACCTGCATCCTTTGCTATTATTGTAAGATCATATTTTGATTGTTGTTCTCTGTCCAGCAGAGACTCGGTGACCACAGCGAACATGTGATCTTGGATTGATGGAGTTAAAGTGAACGGACTTTCTTCAGCCACATAACTGATAATTTTACCATTAACCCCAGAGTCTGAGTCTGTAATGCTGATAAGTGCTACTGTTGTTCCTGGTCTGGAGTCCTCTGAAACTGAACCTGACAGGGAGGCTACCTCTATCTCAGGAGGATTGTCGTTTGTGTCCACTATTTGGATAAAAACATTTCTTAAAGTTCGTAATGGGCTAGTGCCTTTGTCAGAGGCCTGGATATCGATGACATAACTGTCTTGCTCTTCAAAGTCTATTTGACCGCTAACAAAAATGTCCCCAGTAACAGAATCAATGCCAAAGAGATTTTTTATTTTATCTTTTACGCCGCTCCCGAATGAATAAACCACCTCTCCATTAGAACCAGCATCCAAATCAGTTGCATTGACCTGAATAATTTTTAAGTCAATTGGTGAGTTTTCTTCTAGCAAAGCTGAATATTTATCTTTAGTGAATAATGGCATGTTATCATTAATATCTAAAACTTCAATCAATATTTCAGCTGTGCCCGTTTTTGCTGGACTTCCTCCATCTATAGCTTTAAGCACTAATTTATGCTGACTTTTGGTCTCTCTATCCAGTTGTTTCTGCAACTGTAAAACAGGAGTTTTACCATCTTTTCCTCGGTCTTGCACTTCTAAACGGAAATGATCATTTTGACTGATTGTATACTGCTTAATGGAGTTTGTTCCTCCATCTGGATCCAAAGCTTTCTGTAACTGATATTGTGTTCCAGGCAAAGCGACCTCTGAAATTTCTATTGTTTTTGTTTTTTCATGAAATGTGGGGGAGTGGTCATTTAAATCCGTAATTTCCACTGCAACATAATGTATTTCTAGCGGGTTTTCAAGCACTGTTTTCAGATTAA